ATTATATATTCAACCCCATCTAACAGTTACTTAAGTTATTACAACGTGTGCTGTAATTGGTGACGTGTCCATTACGGAAAAAATATATAAAAATTTAAATACCGGACTCATTAATTTATAAAATTCTACGTTATAAAGATCGTTTATATAAGTATAAACCTTATAAATATATTTATTTTTTTATACTAAACATACAATACATACCACACAAAAAATATGTTATTATAACATGAGGAGATATAACAGATATTAACGAAATTTTCTGATTTACCAACATGCGGTAATAGTAGCATCTTTTCTTATCAACGGAATATGCAGATTTCTTCTAAGACGAATGGTAAGATTGAACTTCGTGCTTTTTAGACCATCAGTAATACGAGATTTCAATGCTCCTAATATTCCTTAATAGCAAACTCTAAAATATACAAAGAAATAGACTACAGGCCCGACCTAAAATATCGATGGGTCATATGATCCCGCAGGAAACGTGTATTGGACGATAAAAGGGCACAAAATAATAATTTTTAACACTATGCCGTGACTTGTAAGCTGTCCAACTGAGTGCAGGTGAGAATTAAAAAGCACAAAATAACCGGGTGCTTTTTTATCAAATGATTTTTTACGGCATTCTTACCACCTATAAATCCATCGAAAATAATGAGAAAACACGTAGTGCCGTTAAAAAATAGTAAGCCACAAAGTCGGAAAAAATTTTTGATTTTCTGACAAAACCCCGGGTCTATTACATCATTTGATTATGAACGGCGTTTGTTTCATACAATTTAAATACCTATTCTAATTGATTATTCCGCAACGCCGTGCAAAAATCATGCAACAAGGGAGAAAAATCCAGGGTTAAAATCCACCTTTTTCCACGGGTCTGGGGGATGATCTGAAAAACAACGGCATCAGTTTCAGTTTATTTTGTAGCACTCAGAAGTACTAATTAAAATAATGCCGTCTAAAAATTGTTGTTTTTTGAATGTATATCAATAATTAACTTAATTTAATCGTATATTTGATTTTTACAGCTGTAAAATCATTTGACTCTGTACGGCAACTTTTTTTTAACATGATATTG